CCGCGGTGACAATAAAACCTTATTACATAAATGATACGGTTCCAATTCTAAATAATAGTTCACTTATTTCTTAGCCAGTCGACCGGCGCATAGCACAGCACACACAGACACACAGCAAAAATTAACGAGGTAATACGGACACCGAACAAAGCGCTGTGCGTCATGTTTGAGTGTCATGTGCCATGTTTGATTTGGTGGAGTCATGTGTAATGCTACAGTACGCGGTCGGGTTATATGACGCGTAATGCAACAACCGCATTATTTACACAAGTCAACTTTGCAGAAATGCAGAATTCCCGGATTTCGAAGACTTCGCCTTTTTTCGTTTGATTTACGTATGAAACTGGACCCTGATTTGCTTAACCATTTGTCCTCTGTTGACCTGGATTATGGTTTCTTCTTAGAGAGGTTGTTGTGTACTATTATAATAAAAGGAAGCATTATAAAAAAAACATCCAACCGCTAAACAGTTGTTTGCCTAAATTATATTGTCTACAAAGTAATTTCCCAAAAGCCAAATCAATATTAAAATTTTATGTCTATACTTCTCGGTAGAGAGTAAAAGTGTTCAATGGTTCTTACATATATGACAATATCCTGAATTCTATTATCTCCGCAAAGTAAATAAAGATAATATTATGTCATAAACGTTAGTGGCATCTCATAGATGAGCGGATCCGCATCCTTCTGAAAGGCGGTGGTCGTGAGCCGGAAGAAATTCCCGTAGCGGTTAAGTGACAAAAATGCTCCTGTCTCCGTGAGGAACGCTATGTGCATGGAGTATCGTGACAATCTTGCTCCGTTTCGGGAACACAGTGCCGGGGTGGAAGACTCACCTACTGACTTACAAAGATAATCTTTTTTTTTTTAAAGGATCGGGTGACAAACGAGCACACAGTCCACCTGATGGTAAGTGGTTACTGTGACCCATAGACATCTACATCTATCCTCAATAAAGACTCAAGATGCAGATGCGTTGTCACCCGTGAGGACTAAGATGGAATGCCTCTTTGCCAGTAAAAAGGGTCTCCGGTTCTCTACACTCACCATACGAAACACAGCAGCGTTAAGCTGCTATTTTACGCTGGTTTTCTGTGAGAGCGTGGTCCTTCCCCGGTCGAGCCGACCCATTCGTGCTACAACCATAATATAGCTGCAGCATGGCTCTACCACGTAGAAAAATCATTGATCATCTGAGTGTTTCGGTCATCAATTATATAAGTTTCAACGCAAAGCGACATCGAACTTCTACTTTGGTTTGGGACTTTCGCAACAAATCTATACAAACAAATAAACAAAATTGAAGTGTTTGTTTGTAATATCAAAATAACAGCTTTTCTGCCGACTTCCAAAAATGAGACTGTACTCAATTCGAAGCGTATGTTTTTTTTGTGTGTTACCTCAACTTTTTACTGGGTGAACCGATTAAGATGATTCTTTTTTTATATGAAAGCTGATACTTCTCGTGTCGTCCCATATGAATTTGATCAAGGTCACACCAATAGTTTTTGAGTTATTTGAGTTATTCTTAATAACTTATATTGAAGTCGGCTGTACAAAATTTTTAATTATTACTAAATACATATGAAAGTGTATACGGTAGTTATAACAAAAACACAATTTTTTTTATTTTTTGTCTGTGGTTATTCCGGCTAATTTCCGACATGGCTGGACCGATTTTGACGCGACTATCACTGGCAGATGGCTGATATTATAAGGAGTAACTTAGGCTACTTTTGTTGTAGAAAAATAATTAGGGAACGCGGGCAAAGTCGCGAGGAACAGCTAATAATATAATAATGATGTCCTCCAGACCGAATTTCGGTCGAAGCGGTCTGTGTCAACGAAAACTTGACATCTGCGCAGTACTCTCATAGTCCGGTGGGACGGCAATTCGATACGAACGAAGAGAAATCAGGCGCAGGACCAATGGCTCTATGTATTTCCGAGACACGAGATTAAAACATCGTCAATTTCCTTATTCCAGGCAGCTACTGACAATTTCTTGAACATAAAATATGCTTGCAGACTCGTAGCACGATATACCGAACGAGATCTCTTTGTATCAGAAGTTGGGTCGACGATGCTGAGCGGGGAATCCGGTGTGTAGGGCCGTAGTTTCATTTTGTGCCTACGTGATTGCCAAGAAAGTGACTGCTGATCGCGCTCGGGGACGAGGATGAGACGAGACGAAGGGTGCTCTCTGGCCTCTTCAAGGTCCTCTTAACTGGTGACACCTTACCAAAAACAGGGCTGTTATAGTTGCAGAGAAACGGGGTAGCAGCCTCAACCAGAAGTAACCTTGAGGGGGACTGTTATTTGACGTATTCTCCAAGAAATTATAACAGTAGGTCCATGAAGTTTCAGGGAAAATGACAGCATAACGTTGGAGGCCGCCCTTGCGATCCGGTGAACCCTCATCGACGATGTACCATCACCGTGGGATTTTCAGTATAACCTGCCGCCACACCTAAAGTAAACGAGTGTTCTTCAAATTGTTGGCTATAGCAATTTGAAGCGCCTTTGTAGCCACTTGGTATGCCCCGTAGAGTCTGGCTACCTCCTCAGGCGGAGCTCGCCTTCTTCTCCTTCGAGATCTGGTGTACTGGCGCCGACTCCGCGAGCAGAGCGCACGGAGCCGTGCGATTTCTGCCGACCACCAATACACTGCTCTACGCTTGGGGCGACTGGTTCTGGGCATGGACAGGTCGCAAATTTGCGCCATCGTACCCCGAAACCAGTATGCTTCCACTTCAGGATAGGACTGAACCTCTTCGGCGTTATCCGGCCAGGACGCGACGATGGCGGCGGCTTCCAGCTTATCCCGGTCGAGCCGCTTAAGACACCAACGCCGCGGTGGGCTGCGCCCTCGGCGACTGGGGTTACTGTTGGGCTGGCGAAGTGCGACATCGATCACGATGTGGCGGTGGTCGGACAGTGTGACCGCCTCCTCCGCCACTCGCCAGCCCGACAGCATTTGCATTGCAGGAGGAGTTGCCCACGTAAGATCTACGATGGACTCCCCCTGCCACCGCACACACGTGCTTACGGACCCCTGATTCATTAATCGGAGGTCCAGCCCAGCCACCCATTCCATCACTGTCTCTCCCTTCGGATCGTCTCTGGAGTTGCCCCAAGCCCTGGTGTGGGCGTTAAAATCTCCTAGAACGATCAACGGACGAGGTTGACATTCGCGAACACAATTCGCCACCTCGTAGTCGGCAAGGGAGACCTACCTATTGGGAGACATAGCAGCCCACTATGGCCAGGGGGCCCCATTGCTTGACAGTTAGCTGTGTAACCATTTGAACAAGCCTAATCTAGAATATTTGGGTTACATATTAGGTCTTTACCTATGAAATTGCCGTTTTATATGAAATAACGTAATTTTTTTTCTTTATTTTTATTAATCAAAGTAATCACCATGCATACAATCGATGCATATTTTGCCAACGTAGTGGCAATTTATTGATGCCCTTCTTGAAGAAATCAGCTGGACGGGAGGCAACAAATTGTTCAAAGGCATTGTACTGCCTCTCCAGTGTCTCCAATCCTCGACCAGTTTTCGGAAGACCACAGGGTTCGAATTTCAGCTCGAAATTTCTAGAACGGAAGCGGGCAAACCAATAACAGGTGGTGCATTAGTTTGTAGTATTCGCTCAGTAAACGTCATTGATGTAGCGTGCCACTTGTGCCACGTTGCTGCCACGACGGTACTCATATTTCATAATTACTCAAAATTTTAACTTATTTATAATGACGAAAAATATTCAAATGCGATGAAAACATAACGCTAATCAATAAACAAATGACTAATTTTGAAAAAAGTATTCCATGTTTTCAAAATAAAATTTATTTGAAATTAGAATTCTTAGCAAAACAAAAATTATTTTGATTTGAAATGGCCAGTACTTCAGAACGGCAATTTCATAGGTAAATCTATTATTTATGGTAAGAGCATGAATCTGGTTCTGCGATTAGGGTTGCCATCTGTCCGGCTTTAGCCGGACATGTTTGGCTTTTTCGGGTTGCGTCCGGCCAAATTTTTATGTGTCCAGCCTGTCCGGCTTTTGTTTGGCTTATGTTAGTATAACGCATTGCACTCATTGCTTGCAGAATAAATAAATAAGTAACGTATACACTTGAAACCATGCTGTGATTGATTAATAAACAATTAATGTATGTAATTAATGTTTTTTCTCGGGGGGTTGGAGTTGGTGAATTTTTTGGCTACATGGCCTCAGAAAGGTATGTTTGACTAAAATTCGGCTCTCGGGAGTAAAAGTCCGGCTTTTAGGGCCAAAAGTCCGGCTTTTTGGATCGACGAGTCCGTCTTTTTCATTTTAGGAGATGGCAACCCTAACTGCGATTCACATTAGTGTGGTTACTAGCCCAGGGAAACCTGCAATCAAGTTAAAACACAATAGGTCACATATGCTTTGTCACTTCTGAGAACTAATGTGGAACACCTCACAGTCCGTAATTTCATTTACACCTGTCAAGCCGTGTTGAAATGTGACCCGTCACATCCAGTACCTCTGTTCAAAAACAATGTTTGAAGCTGTCTGAAGCTGCAATTGTCACGTTAGGCAGGCGGAATGACGATCGCAGTACCGGATGTCTCGCATCTTGACGCTATTCTCCAGCCTGGGTCTGGTCCAATCTCAAATCTGCCCAATGGTCTGGGTATTATACGCCTGGCGTTAAAAAATATGGTCACACTTCTCATTTCACTCAACACCTCTATTGTTACTATCGTGGAAATGTCTTTCATTAATGGCAAACATGCAAACAGAATGTGTGTTTTGTTTGTATGTTTGTCCTACAATCACATTTAAACAACTGGGACGAATTCTAATGATATTTTCGTGGAAACGGAGAATCGTAGACATTTTAATATGCAAAAAAACGTATATGACATATCAATATGTATATTATATTATTAAGTCAAAATTATATTAATTATAACAGAGAACTGATTTATTTACATATATCTTTTATTATGGATCAACATTATCCATATTTACATCAGCGTCGGCCTGAAGTTTCTGTTCATTTGTTTCATTCATAGCCTCTTCTTTAACATTATCTTCTGTGTTTGTATTTACATTTTCTTCTTGGCTGGACGGATTCTGTAAAAATATTATTAAATTTCATTCAGTAAGGTTTCTTCAGTCATTGAAAAAATCTAAATTACAATGAATATATAACTACGCAAGAAGGGATAGTGCATGAACTGGGATAATATAATTTAATTTTTATTTTACACAAATAATATGTTAGTTATTGGATGTACATATAATTTAAGCCCCACGTAAACGAAAATTTGATTTGTTTTAAATCTATAACTTAAGGTATGCCGGTCGATACTTCGTATATCTCCTACCCGGGGTACAAATTAGAACACTCCTTTGTGCCCCGGGTTGGAGTTTGCGTGTACGTTAGAGAGGACATCTGTTTTCGATGTCTCGGCAGCCTTGAAGCTACGGACCTGTCCATCTTATGGCAGCGCATAGATAGCGACGACCATCCCCACATCTACGGGTGCCTCTATAGGTCCCATAGCGGCAATGCCGACACAGACCGACTCACCGACCACGTCCAAATGGCTACAAGCTCCGTGCTAAAACAGGTCCCATCCGCAGAGATCGTGATGCTTGGTGATTTTAACGCCACCACGCTGAATGGCTTGGTTCTCGTTTAACCGATTATGCGGGTAGATCTGTTTATGACTTCGCTTTGGCATATGGTCTGACACAACTGGTTACCTCGCCTACGCGGATCCCAGATGTGGAAGATCATGTACCCTCCCTGTAGGACCTTCTGCTGAACTCTCATCCGGACGAATATCAGGTCTCCGATGTTGCCCCTCTTGACTCCTCGGACTATTGTCTGATCCGGAGTACGGTGCCACTCACGCTCCCATCGCGGTTGCGTTCTGCATGCACTTTTTTTTTGCATCCTATACTTGGAGGCGGGTTTGCTTCTCGCCGGATGGTCTTGATTATTTCGCTGATGTGGTGCTACAGGGAATGGAACTATTTATTCCATCATCTATGGTACATATCGGAGACAGAACCCAGCCGTGGTTTGGTCGCTCCTGCAAAATTGCATTACGCCATAAGCAAGAGTGCTACCAGGTCTGGGCTCATGCATCGACGTCTCGGGATGCAAATACCAGCGCTCTTAAAAAGAAGTATATTCCGCCTCTAGATCTCTCAAGCGTCATTGTCAAGGCAAAGTCAGAGCACATCGGCAGAATTGGCGCGAAACTAGATCGTCTTCCTTCGGGAACACGTGCATTCTGGTCTCTCGCCAAGGCAGTTCAAGGAAACTTCTGTCAGCCATTTCTCCCATCTCTGCACAGGTAGAAGGACTCACTGGCCTATGCCGCAAAGGACAAAACCAATCTGATGGGTTCTCTCTTTACATCCAACTCGACTCTTGATGACGGGGGAACACACCGCCGACCATTCCGCGGTGTGAGTGCTCCATGCAGAATGTGCTGTTTACCCAACGCTCAGTGCACAGAGCACTCCTTTCCCTGGACGTCAACAAGTCGAGTAGGCCTGATGGCGTCCCTTCTATTGTGCTGAAGACGTGTGCTCCAGAGTTGGCACCGGTTTTAACGCGTCTTTTCCGGTACTCCTACTCCCAAGGCGTAGTCCCGAATACATGGAAGACAGCCTTCGTGCACCCGATCCCTAAAAAAGGCGACCGCTCAGACCCATCCAACTATAGGCCTATCGCGATCACCTCCTTGTTCTCCAAAATAATGGAATCCATTATTAACTGCCAGCTCATAAGGTACCTTGAGGATCACCAGCTGATTAGTGACCGCCAATACGGTTTTCGTCGGGGTCGATCAGCTGGTGATCTTCTGGTCTACCTGATACATAGATGGGCGGAGGCAGTAGAGTCCAAGGGGGAGGCGTTGGCCGTTAGTCTGGACATTGCGAAGGCCTTCGATCGGGTTTGGCACAAAGCGTTTCTTTCGAAGCTCCCTTCCTATGGGCTTCCCGAAAAATTGTGCGATTGGATCACCAGCTTCCTTGCTGATCTGAGCATCAAGGTCGTTGTAGACGGTGCATGCTCCGACTACAAGCCTATTAACTCTGGTGTTCCACAAGGCTGTGTGCTATCACCAACGCTGTTTCTTCTGCATATCAATGATATGTTGCTAACTGGTAACATTCATTCCTGACAACATTTATGGATGACAGCACTGGTGATGCTCTATACACTGGCCGTGCCAATATTTCTCGGGAAAACGTCGCTGAGTACCGGAACAAACTTGTGTCTGAAGTCGAGTCTTTGCTGAACAAAGTCTCGGATTGGGGGCGACTAAATCTAGTCCAATTTAATCCTCAGAAGACACAAGTTTGCGCGTTTACCGCTAAAAAGAACCCCTTTGTCGTATCTCCCCAGTTTCAAGGCACTCCCCTTCTTGCCTCAGCCAGTATCGGTATCCTCGGAGTCGACATATCGAGTGACGTGCAGTTTCGTGGTCACTTGGAAGGGAAGGCCAAATTGGCCTCTAAAAAGCTTGGCGTGCTCAGCAGAGCGGGACAGTATTTCATGCCGGCACACCGCCTGCTACTTTACAAGGCGCAAGTTCGGCCTCACATGGAATACTGTTCCCATCTCTGGGCAGGGGCTCCCCAGTGCCAGCTCCTTCCACTTGACCGCATCCAACGCAGAGCGGCTCGAATTGTCGACGACCGAGCCCTTTCCGATCGGCTCGATTCATTGGCACTGCGAAGAGATGTTGCATCCCTTTGCATTTTCTTTCGCATCTACCATGGGGAGTGCTCTGAGGAATTGTTCGGATTAATCCCAGCCGCCAAATTTCACGAACGCACATCGCGGCAGAACTCCCGATACCATCCACACCATCTGGATGATTGGCGGTCCACCACTGTGCGATTTAGAAGATGTTTTCTTCCTTGCACAACTTCCTTGTGGAATCGATTACCATTAGCGATTTTTCCGGACCGATACGACTTAGGGACCTTCAAGAAAAGAGCGTACTCCTTTTTAAAAGGCCGGCAACGCATCTGCGATTCCCCTGGTGTTGCAGTTGTTCATGGGCGGCGGTAGTCACTTACCATCAGGTGAGCCGCATGCTCGTTTGCCCCCTCTCCTATAAAAAAAAAAAATACGCTGTTTCTCCTGCATATCAATGATATGTTGCTAACTGGTAGCATTCATTGCTATGCAGACGACAGCACTGGTGGTGCTAATATTTCTTGGGAAAACGTCGCCGAGTACCGGGACACACTTGTGTCTGAAGTCGAGACTTTGTTGAACAAAGTCTCAGACTGGACTAAGTGTAGTCCAGTTCAATCCCTAGCAGACACAAGTTTGCGTGTTTACCGCTAAAAAGAACCCATTCGTCGTATCTCCTCAGTTTCAAGGCACTCCTCTTGATGCCTCAGCCAGTATCGGAATCCTCGGCGTCGACATATTGAGTGACGTGCAGTTTCGTGGTCACTTGGAAGAAAAGGCCAAATTGGCCTCTAAAAAGTTTGGTGTGTTCAGCAGAGCGGGACAGTATTTCATGCCGGCACACCGCCTGCAACTTTACAAGGCGCAGGTTCGGCCGCACATTCCCATCTCTGGGCTGGGGCTCCCCAGTGCCAGCTCCTTCCATTTGATCGCATCTAGCGCAGAGCCGTTCGAATTGTCGACGACCGAACTATTTCTCATCGGCTTGACTCACTGGCACTGCGTAGAGATGTTGCATGTCTTTGCGTATTTTATTGCATTTACCACGGGGAGTGCTGTGAGAAATTGTTCGAACTAATTCCAGCCGCACAATTTCACCATCGCACATCGCGACAAAACTCGCGATACCACCCATACCATATGGATGACTGGCGGTCCACAACTGTGCTATTTAATAGAAGTTTTCTTCTTCGCACAACTTCCTTGTGGAATCGACTACCACCAGAGATTTTTCCGGACCGATACGACTTAGGGACCTTCAAGAAAAAACTCCTTTTTAAAAGGCCGGCAACGCATCTGCAATTCCCCTGGTGTTGCAGTTGTTCATGGGCGGCGGTAATCACTTACCATCAGGCGAGCCGCATCCTCGTTTGCTCCCTCTCCTATGAAAAAAAGAATCTTGACGATTTATCTCGAGTAGGAAAAACATCGTAGAGACCACAGAGTTTACAACGCACTTATGGCCTTCTTTTTTAAATTATCTGGGCAACAGAAGTCACCTTACATCAGGAAGACTGTTCGCTCATTTGCCGCTCTAGTATTACAAGGAGGAAACTTATACAATTAAATTTATAAACTTATAATGTTTATAAATTTAATTGTATAAATACTATCAAATTATATGTGATTTTTTTTGTTTTAAAAGAGTCCCACTGAATTTATTGCTGGTTTTTCTCAGGACAGAGATTTTTTTCGAACCAGTGGTATAACAAAATAACTTTCAATAAGTAATCTTTACACTCAAAAAAAAAAACGAGTTTGAAGTTACTAAAAAAAAAATCCACAAAATTTAATAATATCTGAAATCGGTGCCTAAATGTAAAAATTATCTCTTTGTTTTATGTACTATTTTTCTGTGTATAAATGATATACCTATCTAAAAAAAATGTTACCTCATTTTCCCTTTCGAACAGAATTGCCAGTTCGACGTGTTTAGTATGCGGGAACATATCGACGGACACGGCTCGCACAGGTATAAACGGCGCACCGCGAAGCATTTTGGACGAAGCCCGAGACAGGTCCACGAAGTTCTTCACAGCTGATGCCGGGCTACATGATATGTATATCAGCCGTTTCACCCTTTTCGTGTTGCGCAGTTGAGTTATGGCCTTCATGTCTGTGTGAAGGCAAAATTTATTTTAACACTTGAATATGCAAAAAGATGGATGTGTCACATTAATTTCCCATTCGCCTTCATTCGGTACAGCCCATCACAAGTCCACTGCTTAACTTAGGCCTCCTCCATAGATTGCCTCATGATATTTGCCACAGATGCCACGCGTGGCAAGCGGATTGGCAAACGCAGTTTATTATTATTGAGTTTTTATGAGGAAAATGATTCGGTCTATCCCCAGATTCATTTTCCCATTTCGTTACTAATGAACTAATCATAGATTCCATTCTTTTTAAAACTACAAAATCAAATTGAATGAAAATTTTATTACACAGTTAAGTGTTGAATTAAATTACACACACTTAAACACACATCATTTTAAAAATAGTATAATCGAACTCTATTGGCTCCAAAATGTGACGGATTTAAAAAAAAAATATTTTTAAATATCGGACACATTAAAAACTTCCAAATGAGTTAAGTAAAGCAAACGAAACGAGATAAAATATGTAAACAAACTTTCAGAGGTTCATAACATTTTTATTGAAAATATTAGGAAAATATAGGGAATAACCATGATTATTTGCTGATGACACTTCATAAATTTTCAAATTAAAATGACAATTACTAAAATATGACGAAGTAAATAATGCTATATCTAAATTAGTACATTGGTTCGATGTTAATAATTTGCATTTAAATGACATTAAAACGAAATGTATGAAATTCATAACTCCAAATGTCAAACAATTAAATACTAATGTAATTTTAAATAGGAAGAACTGAGTCTTGTCGATACCACCATTTTTCTTGGAATTACACTAGATGCGAAGCTTCAATGGATTCCCCATATATCAAAACTAGCAAGCAGACTTAGTTCTGCAGCATATGCTGTAAAAAACAATAGAAATTTTACCAGTGTTGAAACAGCTAGACTAGTTTAGTTTACTTTAGTTATTTCCATAGCATAATGTCGTATGGTATTTTGCTATGGGGACACGCGGCTGACACTGAAATTATATTTGTTTCATGGAACAGGGCCATAAGAGCAATTTATGATTTAAAGCCTAAAGAGTCACTGTGATAAAAAAAAAAGGAAATTAATATATTAACTTTGGCCTTTCAATACATTTATGAAAATGTAATGTACGTACACAAAAATAAGTGATATTCATTCTGTAAATACTAGGAACAGACACAAGCTAGTAGTACCAGTTACTCGAATCCACCGAGTCAGTTATTCATTCTTGGGACGATGTATAACAAAACAACTTTTACAACAAAATCCCAGAAAATATACAAAATTTTGCTCAAAGTTCAAAAACTTTATTAAACTATGTTTGTATAAAAGGGATATTATGATATTAAAGAATTTATGGATGATAATAACCCCTGGGAATGAGGTGATCGCTACCAAGCTATTTCTAATTTGTTTTGTGTAGTTAATTGTGTAACATACATGATTGTAAGCTGTTATTTAAAAAAAAATCTCGCTAGGTTTCTTGCTGGTTCTTCCCAGGACGGAGGTTTTTTTTTCGAACCAGTGATAATTAAACAAAAGAGTGACTTTCAATAAGTATTATTTATAATCTATATTGAATAAAAAGTTAATCGTCGACTTCTGAACTAGATAAGTAAACTTTGAATCTGTTATATTAATCACCAAACTTTTTATTGTATTGTCATCAGCTTACTGCTGCGAATGCTGCTCGAGTCAGCACGCCAGTGCAAGTGCTGCACGAGTCAGCTCGCTGATGCTAGTGCTGCTCACGTCAGCCCGGTGGTACGAGAACTGTGCGAGTCAGCTCACTGGTGCGGGTGCTGCTCGACTCAGTCCGTTGGTGTGAGTGCTGGGTAAGTCAGCTCGCTGGTGCGAGCGCTGTGCGAATCAATAATAGTTTGATTATGTCGTTATGTGTCGGTGGAACAGACCCATATCAATCTTTGTACTTTGATACACATTTTGAAGATGCTGCTGTTGGAATGCTACAAGAGCAAGGTATCTCGGATGCGTCAGTTGCTGCTGACAATGGACCTGTGTAAAGCCTTCCCTTGTTATTTTGTTAGTTTCGAGTTGACTTGTTTTTCAACGTCCATATTATATCTTCCGATGTCAAGCGTTTAATCTGTCAGTCATATAAGATGTTGAGAGCCAAGCTCTGACGGGCCTGTGCGTGATTTGTGTAGCTTTCTGCTGAGCTATGCTATGTGAATTAATAGTAGTGGAGTGTGTAGTGTAGGGGAGTGGAGTTGAGCTCTATCACATTAGATTTAGTCTAAAACGATACTTAAATTTTCATCATATGCTTTCGAATACAGTAAATAGATTAGGCACAGGTATGATGCGTGGACTTGTCTGGTAAAGCATTTAACTGATACGAGTATCTGTATTGAAACTTATGTTGAAGCAAATGTGTGAGATTTGACATGGTATCGGCGTCACTTGAAATGTACGCACGGGAGAAAAGGACAGAGATACTAATCGATCGTTGTTGTACCTTAATTCAGTACAGGTCAGCGTGTTTAAATTCTCTGTTTCGTTGGCCTTACTTTAGTTAAGAAAAGAAATTAAAAATTAATACAATAGTGTATATAGGACTTAAATTGACTTAATTTTTAAATTATCAATCACATAATTTTTTTAACTTAGTCTATAAAATTTGGTCGTGGAACATTTCCTCTTAGATACATATTATAGGGTTTCATTTAAAAATCTTTATAACATAAATAATAAAACAATCATGCTTATTTGGACTAATCAAGTGTGAGAATCATTTTCTACCTACTTTTAATTAACGGTATTGTTAATCAATATTTTTCCAAGCATTCGTTGTTTTTTAATTAATTACGAAAACAAAGCATGAATTTGACATTGAGGGCATCTACGACTTTTTCTGCCAACAGGGCGGCGCCACTAGAAAGTGAGGTATAATAGTTGACAGATTTCATAGCGGGGAAGTTACTTTGTTCGGAAAATGTAAAAGTTACTGTTTCTTTCTGTACTATTGGCTATATTTTATATTAATAAGATTAAAAATAAATAAACCAAACCACAGATATTCATAAAAGTAGAAAAATTTATTTTTATTTAAAAATGTGCAAAAAATTAAAGAGCAACCCACTGACGCATTGTGTTTTAATATAATATTCTAGAAACTGATAAACTTTTATTAAAAACCAACTTCTCAATTAAATTACATTGTGGGACAAAAAACTTTACCTCAGTGTCAACTAGCGACATCTGGTGAGCAGAAAATTATTAGCCCTCATTACAGTATTTGAAATAATCTCACAATTCGACTGTATTGTTTTTTTTATGTGTTCTTTTTTTATTTGAAAACTGGTGCTTCTCATGTGGTCCCATATAAAATGGTCAAGGTCTGACCAATAGTTTTTGAGTTATTAATTTATATTGAATTCGGTTGTATAATTTTTTTTCAATTTCTCAGGTTAAATGTGGTAGTAAAGGTTAACAGTGGTAGAGCCACGCGGCAGAATTGCTGTCGCACGGATGGGCTGGCTCGAACCGGGGTGGTACCACGACCTCACAGAATACCAGCGTGAAGTAGAGGTTTACCTCTGCGTTTCGCTTGGTGAGTGCAGGTGGCCGGAGGCCCTTTTTACTGGAAATGAGGCATTCCATCTTAGTCCTCACGGGGTCACGCATCTGCATTTTGATTCGCAAACGAGGATAGATGTAGATGTCTATGGGCCGCAGCAACCACTTACCATCAGGTGGACTGTGTGCTCGTTTGTCACCCTTATCCTATATAAAAAAAAGGTTATTCAAAAAATTTCCATTCATCGAATGTTATTTTACGAAAAAGAGCGGCTAATTTTATATGCACCGTTTATATTTTTGTTAATAAACCTAGACTTTACACACTAATCGTATCATGAATACTTACGCAGTCCAGCTCGCGGCGGGTCGACGACGGCGACCAGATGGTCACCGCCCGCCCTGGCCAGTACCGATGGTAAGATTTCCTCCGCTTTGCCCGTGTAGAACTCGCAGTTTTCAATGCCGTTCAACTCCGCGTTCGCTTTAGCGTCTTTCACCGCTTCCGCTACCAATTCTAGTCCCAAAACTCTTCCGCAATGCTGTAAAATCGATTTAAACTTCTGAAATACATGACTTCTACAAATCAAATACAAGTCTATTACTACACACGCACTTCAGTTCACTCACACTCGATCACGATACACAAATCTCAATTGACTTATTAATGCCCACTGTTAGTGCACTCACACTGGATCACATTAGTACAGACTAGAGATGACTTATGGATCCGAGACATGCTCCTTCACTGCTGACCGTATGAGGACGCTCAAGGTGGCTCAGCGAGCTATGGAGAGAGCTATGCTTGAGGTTTCTTTGCGTGATAAACTTAGGAATGAGGATATCCACAGTAGAACCAGAGTGACTGACATAGCCCAACGGATTAGTGAGCTGAAGTGGCAATGGGCCGGCCATATAGCTCGAAGAACCGACAACCGATGGGGAAAAAAGATTATCGAGTGGCAGCCTGGTTCTAGTAGGCGAAGTGTAGGGAAACCCCTCCCTAGATCGAGTGACTACCTGGTAAGACACGCAGGAAGTCGATGGATGCAGGTGGCTCGGGACCGTGCTTTGTAGCATTCCTTGAGGGAGGCTTATGGTCAGCAGTGGACTTGTGAAGGGCTGTAATGATGATGATGATGAAAATAAAATAAGAAAATCTTGATTCTCTGTCTCCACCATCGATCACTAATAAAAAACTAGATGCACAATCCCATACAAAAAATCTCTAAAAACTATCGCCAAATGTTTTGACGTAGTTCTAGTTGATATAAATATACATTAATGTAAATTCAACCTTAAGTGAAATGCCTAAAGTTGTATTGACAAAGCAACGTACAAAAAGCAATAAAATTTTACGACCGAGGCTCGTCGTTTGGACAAGGAGAGTGGAGTCGTACTGCACAATGTTTTTTGTTACTGTAATTATAATTTTACAACTTTTAAACAAGTTAAATCTAAATATAATAGTTACTAAATATAAAAAATAAGTACAGAAAGTTCTTGCAAAATCTAAGAACATTATTGTCCAAATTTTGACGTAATGTTCATATTTACAGATGTTTAAAAAAACGAATAAGACTGAATAATTATAATGATTTCTTATATTTACGCGTTCACTACACATTTAAATGAAACTAGTTTTACGGATTTCATCGCGTATATTAACTTATTTTATATTCCCGACGTTTCGAGTACTATAATATTTAAAGATAGAATAGAATAGAATAGAATGATTTTTATTCAATATGGATTATTACATAATACTTATTGAAAGTCATTATTTTATTTACCACTGGTTCGGAAAATACCTCTGTCCTGGGAAGAACCAGCAAGAAACCCAGCGGGACTTTTTTTTTAAACATAATTTCACTTAACAATAATTTTGTTTATACAATTTTAAATGAATTTTCATAGAACCAGCATGGTGGCGATCACCTTATTCCCAGGGGTTATTTTCATTCATGTATTCCTTGATATTATAATAACCCTTTTTGTACAGTTTTTCTTTAATAAAACTTTTAAACTTGTTTATTGACAAACTTTGAACATGTTCTGGGATTCTGTTGTAAAAGCGTATACATTGCCCCATAAATGAATTACTAATTCTGTGGAGTCTTGTAAGTGGCATTACAAGCTTATGTTTGTTCCTAGTGTTTAAGGTATGAACATCCTTATTCTTATTAAAGCTATTTATGTTTTTATGTACATACATTACATTTTCATAAATATATTGCGATGCCAAAGTTAATATGTTTATTTCTTTAAATTTTTCTCTAAGGGACTCTTTACAATTTAGATTATAAATCGCCCGTACGGCTCTCTTTTGCAAAACAAATATAACTTCAATATCAGTCGCATTACCCCATATACAGTAAAGAACTCTCATTAAACAAAAAAAAAACAATCATACTTTAATAATAAAAAAACAATAGCGTTTCCACAAATGGAACAGAATCAACGCATATACCTCGAACAATGACGACTTATTTTATTACGACTTAATTTAAAAAATACTTTTACGATGATTTATTGACAAAATATCAGTATTTACAATACAGTTACGACAATTAAATAATGTTAATATTATTATTTAAGGAAAATATGAAATTCCATCCTTTTTTAGCGTCCTGGATGTATGATTTTTACACTTTTTAAACGAGCACTGAGGCATGTTTACCGTCGGAGAATTCGAATGCTACTAGATTAAAAGTGCACCCATATGTTCGAGTGGGTGCACATTCGGTTATGCCATTTTTTGTCACTGATTGTGTATCTAGTATCTTATTAGTGATCGATGGTCTCCATCCAAAATTAATTTATAACTTTTATAACTCGTCGTATATTTAAATTATTTTATATTATATATTTTAATCTTTATTGACCATGGAAATCGTACTCAAGTTTTTAGGTCATTAACAATTGATAATAATTTATCTTCAAAGTCTGGCTTAAACTCGTTTATTAGATGCGATTTTTGATGTCAGTTTCATTCAAGCATTTGGCTCCTTTTTGCATCTGCACTTCTTATTGCTACAATGCTTGCGAGGTAGCGAGTATACTTCTTGTGCGATTTTTTTGTATTCTCGGAAAACACTTCTTTGTTTCTAATTAGAACTATGCGATAAAGTTTGGTATAACCATAATAGAAATAGTATTAATGACACACAACACAACACACAAACACTCAACGCCTGTCATCCAGAGGGGTAGGCAGAGACTACGGACTTCCATTTGGCGCGATCCTGACACACCTCTTTCGCCTCCTTTACATCCATATATCTACGCATACACGGTGTTGATGAAATGTAAGGAAAATGAAAATATTATTATGTTAGGAGATTTTAATGGAAGGGTTGGGGTGAAGAGGTCTGGTTATGAAAGGATATTAGGAACATTTGGCGATGAAAGAATAAATGAGAATGGTGAAGACCTCCTCACCGTATGTGTGGAAAAGAATCTTTTTGTGGCGAACACTTTCTTTCGCCATAAGAGAATTCACATGTATACATGGGAAAGAGGGGGTGATAGAAGCATGATAGATTTCATAATTATTGTGGATGAAAGAATGAGGAGCGCAGTGGTAGATACAAGGGTTTACCGGGGTTCCAACGTAGGGACGGATCATTACTTGGTCTTATGCCGAATTAATGGTCTATTCAGGCGTTGGCGGCATCGGACATCTGTGTCTACCACTGCGTTACAGCGTATAAGAGTAGAGAGGTTACAAGATGAAGGTGTGAAAGAGAAGTATAAATGCAGACTGAGGGAAAATATAAGTGGGTTGAATGAATTATGTATGAATGATTTGGACTTGAAGAATGTATGGAATAATATTAAGAAAGTTTTGATCGACGCAGCCACCGAAGTATGTGGTGTAAGTAAGAGAACGAATGAAAGGAAAAGTAATATGTTGTGGTGGGATGATGAGGTATGGATGGAAGTTGAAGCAAAGAAGAGAGCATGGCTAGATTTACTAGCAACCAAAGCTGGTAATTCTGGCGGTATGAATGATGAGATTGAAAAAAAAGGCAGACTTTAGGCGTATAAATAAGAGAGTAAAAGAAGTTGTTGAAAGGAAAAAGCAAGAAAGGATAGATAAGAATGGTAGAAGGATATCTGATAACTTCCAGGCAAATATTAAAATGTTCTGGAAGCTCGTAAGAACTGCCAGGGGAAATTCAAAACAGCCTAGAATGAATGCTATACGAGACGAGAATGGCTGCATACTGAATGATGAAGTTTCGAATTTAAAGAGATGGAAGGAATACCTTGAAAGAGTGTTTAAGAGTGAAGAGTCGTCTGAAGTAAGTGAAATAGAAATTCCGGAAGAAGTGGAGAGAGGTAGGGAGATAAGTGTAGATGAAATAATGAAAGCAATGAAAAGCATGAAAGCAGGTAAGGCAGCCAGATATGATAGAATATCACTCGAAATGCTAAGGGCTGGAGAGGGTGTGGTTGCACGCCTGCTGTGCACCTTGTTAATTTATGTTAGGAACTGAAGCGGGTACTGAAAGACTGGTGCAAAGCCGTTATAGTCCCAATATATAAGGGAAAGGGGTCGCAGCAGGACTGTAAAAACTACCGTGGTATCAGCTTGCTTAGCATTGTGGGTAAACTGTATGCTAAGGTGTTAATTGAAAGAGTTATGGAAGAAACTGATGGAAAAATTTGGGATATGCAAGCTGGATTTAGAAAGGGGATGGGGTGTACGGATCAAGTCTTTTCCATGCGCATGATTGCGGAGAAGTTTTTGGCCAAAAACCAGAAAGTTTTTTGTGCGTTCATGAACTTGGAAAAGACTTATGACAGAGTGGACAGGAATGTGAGGCGGAATTGCAAATGATGGTTATTTTAATGAACCGGTCATTGAAAGAAAGGGGTATGAAAGTGAACGCAAGTAAGACGAAAGTGATGGTTTTTGAAAGCGAAGAAAGTAAAACTTTATGTGAAATAAGAATAGAAGGGGAGTTGATTGAGCAAGTGTATGAGTTTGTATATTTGGGATGTTTCTTTAGCAGGGATGGTAGATATGATAAGGATATAGAACGACGAGTGAACGCAGGAAATAGAGTGAATGGGGCTCTACACGGTATTATGAGGAGTCATAATGTGTCAAATAAGGCACATATGGCAATTCATAATGCTGTCCTAGTCCCTACTTTAATGTATGGTAATGAAAGTTGGGTCTGGCAGAAGAAGCATGAGAGCAGAATAAATGCTGTAGAAATGCGGCCCTTAGGAGTATGAATAGTTAAGAAATAGTGTGATAAGAGAAAAGTGTGGTGTGCAACATGACGTTGTGACAAGGGTTAAGAAAGGAATGCTTCGGTGGTTTGGTTATGTAGAAAGAATGAACGAGGAATGAGTGACAAAGCAAATTTATGTTGCAGAAGTGAACGGCAGGGTCGGGAAGGGACGCCCTAGATGAAGGTTTTATCGACCAAATCGGCGATACATTAAAAATGGGTCAGATTAGGAGTACCCTTAACCGACGAGCGTGTAGTATTAATGAATTATTTAAATTAATTTATAATATTATTTTTTATCTTACATAAGATTTAAAGTATCCCCTCAATCTCCTTGACAGCAAAAGTACGAACAAATTGAAAAGTGTTGAAAAGTGCTTTCGTAATACTTGAATTCCCCCTTAATATGAATTACCTAAAATACATCTTACCTTTGCAAAGCACAAGCCAATAGTTCCCGTCCCACAGCATATGTCAATCACTGTAGAGTCATAAGTCACTTGACTCAAATCAATCGCATTCTGATATAGAATTTCAGCACCAGCTGTATTAATCTAAAACCAAATAAAAATTACTAAAAGAATATTTTTTTTAAAATAATTATAAATATTTGAAATAATCACTGTTGTTTGGAATGTTTAGAAGCGATAGTACCCTAATTGTTAATGGTATGAACAGTGTGATTATGGTTTTTGTTTCAAATACAACTTTAGATTTATTTCAGGAACAATTTCTGGCTCAAGCAATGCAACATTTGTAGAGTGGTTAGCGTGAATATATATGCTAATGTATACAAATAATGTGATCAATAAGCAATATATAAAGTTGAAATGCTTATTAAATAAAAATCATAAGGAACCTGAAAGAATGCTTCTGGGGAGATTCTAAATTGCCTCCCGAGGATGACATCTGTAATATGAGTCGAACCCATTAAATGAATGGGCTTAGAACAATCCTCACCTATTCTCCTGAAAGTTATAACTGGTATTAATTGATTTCATATATAATCTGTTATATTAATATTCAAAAAACGTTACATCCACACTAGGATTTTCTCCTGTATCGTAGAGGCAGTTAACAAACATAAATTGCACAAGGATAAACATCCAGACCCGGAACAATTATTTGTAGGCCATACAAATACTTGTTCCGTGCGGGATTCGAACCCGCGGGCTCCAGCGTTGTAACTCATTGCTAAGCCACTGCGCCATGGAGCCGTCAAAGGATAAAATAAAGAATTACTCGCCGCCTCTAACTGGTAAGTGCGAGGACCTGAGTTCGAATCCCGGGTCAGGCTATAAATCAATTATTGAGTTTTCTGAAAAAAATTTTCAGTACTAGCCCGTAGTCAGGATATTGCCGGTAATTTAAACAAATGCCTCGGACATCACATTAAGCCGTTGGTTCTACATCTGATTTCTCTTCGGTCTCAGTTGAGACTGGCCGCTTCGGCCGCAATTCCGTCTGGAGGACATTATTATTATTAAAATAAATATCAAATATCTTTATAAATAAAATATAAAACAATTGAAAGATCTTTGAATGTTTTTTTATTATTACCTCTTCGTTATTAATTCATAGTATATAGATTTAATACCACATGCAGTTGATTCTTCGGAACTGAAGTGTTCTCTTAAATCGGCCTTCAGTTTCTCCAATTCCTCAACGGTCAATGCCTAAAAAGAAAATTATCTTGGAGTTTATAATCAGCAGAGATTGGTAAGAGTTTTGGTTTTTTAATGGAATATTTTGTATACATTTTAAAAGCAAAATCATTACATTACACATCGAAAGCAAACAGGGTTCGATCTTAGGTCGCCACTTTTTTTGAATTCATGATTATACATCTGACATGAAAAAAAAATATAATTTCTCCTAGATGATACCTATCGATATAAACATGGAAAGTAAAACATTATCTAATTGTATGTTATAAATGTTATGTTATTTACCACCATGATATCGATACACCCCACATAGCTTTAAGAACATAAAGTTATTGGACTTGCTATAGGAAGTCTTACCTTCCCCTCAGTGGAGTAGCGTGCCTTAGAGGGGCCCTGTATCAAAATTTGTCGGGGGGCTCAAATGAACTGTAAAGATTTTTCACAAAAGGAACAAAAACTCTCGCATTGAATCAAAATAATTATATATCGATTATAAGTTATTACTTACAATAATTAATACTCCTAGGAACTAAGCTAGCCAAACAATTCAAACCAACATCCTGTCCCATAGAAGTCCTTAGAAGTTTTGCTTACATACGTATGGGGCCTCTGTACTCCGGGGGCCCCGTATCATTGATACGGCTGATACAGCGGTAGCTACGCCCCTGCTTTCCCTCTATATTCACCTGATCTTGCACCAGTTTTTAAAATCTAAAGTGAACAACGACTACGGTAGGACTCCTTTTCTCTTCTACTGGGTGGGTACCATACCATTCTCTTAACTATCTTTGCCAAATAGCAGTGCCTGCACTGCTATGTTTCGGTCTAAAGGGTATCCAATATAATAACAGGCCATGACGAATTTTCCTTTAGTTCTCGGATGTGACAATGCCTTTTTTGTTTGAAATTGGCTGCTGGTGTCCATGGGCAGCAACCACTAACCTGATGTTGCTATAATCACCTGATGGTGAACTGTCAGTTTTTATTTATTTATGATCACAAAAAAGAAGGTAGGCGACGAGAACGGTCAATCTGTGGCCGATCATGACGGGAAAGTCGACGCGGAAGAAGTGCAGGAAAGTGAAGCGGTAGGACTCATCGGCGTGGCAGAGCTGCGCAGAATGCGTTATTTTAATAATAAATTAATAAAAATGCAGTAATTACCTGTGGATGCAACGCAATGATCAACATTATGTCCCCATTGTACTTAGAATGCCTTACTGTAAGATATCTCCAGTAACCAGAGTAATCGGCTGGCGAAAATGGCGGCAAATCAGACTTTCTAACAAACTCTTGAAATAGCTGCAAAAATAATTTTACTAAGCTATCTTAATTTATTTAGATTTTAAAGAATAAATATTTATAGTTAGGAATGAGCGTAGAAAATAAAAGTAAATAATAAATACGAAAAAGTGATGATAGATCTGTAATCCCAAAAAGTATAAATTATCGCACAGGCAACAGAGAAATCAGCCAGTAATTATATGAGTCTCACTGTCTTTATTATGCCGATTGATAAATACCTTTATTAGTATATGAAGGTATTATATCAATAAATATAATACCATATGTGGAGATGCTGTCCTGTATCACATCGTGATATGGATAGGCAGTATTGCTGTTGGTGTGCATAGTTCATCTATTTTAATGTTATCTTGTATTTACTTCTAACTTTTAACTATATATATATATAATGGCTAACATTAGTAAGGGGCACATATGAGGTATTCCATTTCATCCTGATGATGTTGTAATAAGCTGTGACATATGTCACTGTGATCTCTTATCTGCCTCACAAGCATTTACAGCAAATACTTTCCAGATTGGCAGGCAGCTGTCAAAAAATTAAGAAAAAAAAGTAATAAAAAAACTTACCAAAACAACCCTTTTCGTTTGCTCAGATATGTGATTTAATGACTGTATCGGGGCAACACCCACTGTACCAGTCACATAACTACCAAGCCTAAATCCAACTGTAGGCTTTTTGCTTTGCTCGTCAATACCAACTGTGAATTCACATTTATTCCTATATCCCTCGGTTACTGGTGATGGCTCGATAGGTTTAAGATCAAAGCTGAGTCCATTGTGCAATTTTCGTTTTGCTTCTATTAAATCTCTTCTTTCCTTGTTTATCTTCCACACTTCATTGTCATATTTCATGAGTATTTGTCTGACTTCTTTCTCTTTGATTTTTAACTAACAGGAAAATAAATCAATATGTAAAAAAGCATATTCACATCTTATATACGTACCAAAGAGGTGTGGTATGTAAGCGCTCGCTGTAGATTTCACAGCACGCGAGCAATCAGAGTTCGATCTCCGCCGGCACAAATTAAAATGCAATAATAAAGTAAATAACAATGTTACTTGCTGATTCATCACGTGCTCGGCGTTGAAGGAAAACATTGTGAGGAACAAACATCTCAGAAATAAAAAAAATAAGGAATGAAAGAAAAAGTCCGTCGCGCTGACCCAATGCGTTTTTTATATATTGCCGAACACAAAAAAAATTATAATAAAATAAATTAATGGTAAAAAAGTAATTATATGGCAAATTTTTGTTCCTTGTCTAGATGTTTGTCTAGGTGTAAAAAAAATTAAACATCTCTACAATATGTGAGAAATTCTTCGTGACTCAATAATTTTTATAAAAAGAATTAGATACCTGTTCATCATAAGGTATATTCCAATATGGTGTTGTTGCATCCTTCAGTCTCTCTTCCTGACTCTTATTATCCACCTCTTTCATTTTCTTATCTTGAATGGCCTCATCTTCTCCTTGCTTTCTTTTTCTAACTAGTGGATCAGGAGCTGGTTTTGCAGCTTCAGCTATAAGAGTTTTACCTATAAAATAAATATGAGTAAGTGTAAATTCCAAATATCATTTATTTATTTATCTTGAACATTTGCATATAATTTAATGTAGTCTCATCAAAATTTGGCCTGAAACAGTTCATTGATGGACATGAGTCTTTCCAACAGCTGAGAGGATTTGACAGTCAAAAAACATACCTAGAATACTATTTTACTCTTATGGTTATTGTAATAAAATACGAATATAAATAATAAAGACCAGTTAGGTAGCAGAGAACCTTTCACTATGGCGTTTTGTTTTAAAATGTCTATTTTTCCTGCGGGTGTACGCCGCACGCCGTACGATGACCTTTGATGTCGCAGCGGCGCCTTTGACAAGATGCGGCATGTGCCAAGGCGGCGCGACACAAAAGCGACCGTATCTAACCGAACATACTATACAACACCTAATGTCTTGTACCTTATATGGTGTTCTTCATAACTAGTCATTGCAGGCTTGGCAAATAATAAGATGGATCATTGGGAAGTACCATCACTGGAAACCCACAGAATGAAATGCAATGCAGGATTCAGTATCTGAACTTCATCATTGTCATAATCATTACAGCTCATCACAAGTCCACTGCTGCACTAGGCCTCCCCTAAGAAACGCCTCAAAGTACGGTCTTGAGCCACCTGCATTCATCAACTTCCTGTATCTTTTATCTAGGGGGGAGCCACCCTTCACTTGAAAAGGTATGAAGCTGCAACTCGAGAACCTTTTTTCTCCATTAGTTGCCAGTTTTTCCAGCTACATCTGTGAATTTGAGTGAGATTGAGATGTTCTACAGACGGATGACTACAGCAAGTCTAAATAACAATCCAAGAATAAATGATGAGACTTACAACACTACTCTGAATTCACAGTGCAAAAATATTAAGAAATTTATTCCAAAAAGATGTAATAGACCCTGTTTAAAATACTATTCTACATAATTATAATAACTATATTATACCTTTCCAAGAATATCCATTAAGGGCTGCAATTGCTTTTCCCCTTTCTTCATCATTTTGAAAGCAAGCATAGAGCCAACGACTTCCATTTTTTGGACGCTTGATCTTGCTTGTATTCAGACCTAACTTTTGATTCATTAATTTCTTTAATTCCTAAAAGTAAACTAGGTATTAGTAAAATAAAAGGATTTTTTTATAGCTTGTGAACATTGTAATTAGTCTCATTTAGACAGATATCAACTATGAAATTTTATAGACTATGTTATTCAGGGTAAAATTTTGTTCAAGATTACCAAAACATGGGTTTCGCCAAAATTTTACAAAATCAAATTAATGATACTGACCAAATTATTGGTATTATATTTTTAAGATATTGGTATGATGAATATTGGGCAAATGTATCAAGCTATGAGGTCTAATTAATTCATCCCTGAAAATATACCCAGCAGTAGATTCAGAAAGGCTGTTGTGTAAAAAATAATGTTTTATTAGTATACTGTAATAGGGAGTAACCCCTCTAAACAAGTTATATTTTGTCATTTTACAAACTTACAAACATGAAACAAAAAGAAAGAAACTCCCTATTAAGATTTAAGTCAAATTTTCTCATTTTAAAATTTGACTTCAAACTTGAGAATTTTTCTGACCTAGGTCTATCTTTTATATGGGATTTTTTAGACAACTCAATTACATGCTGGGCTCACCTTTGGAACAACTACTCAAAGTTGCGTACTTTCAAATTAATGTTCAACGGATCTAATTTTTTTTAACAAATGTACATGTAAAACGATTCAGCGGTCGAAAGCTCATAGTTTTAAAAAAAAATTGAAAACAAAATTACAATTTATCATCATTATGCCTGCTCATTTGACATTAGAATGTTGGGGTTTTATAAAATTTAAATATTCTTATTTTTGTACTTTACAATTGAAATTAATAATACAGTGGATTTCATTTATTACCTATAGCAACATTAAATCTAAGTCCCTTGAATTTAAAGCATATTTTAGTACAAAATTCATGTGGCTATAGCGACTTCGGATGACGCCGAGTTCGGGTGTAGCGATTTTTTTAATGAATCATTTGTAACAAATTCCTAGAAATCCCATGCAGATATTGCGACCGGAGTCGGCCGCCAAAGACACAAAGATTTCTTTCTGTCAAAAACATTTCTTATCTTTTGTTTACATCCACACAGATCATCACCAGGTATGGAGACCTTTACCTTTTGTTTATAGATATCAGCTAAATAGGTAGGGAAGCGTGTAAGTTTCGGAGTTAAATTTATGGTTCAGTTACAAAGTGATATTCTGAGTAGCAATTGTAATGTATTGAATTTGTTACCTTTGCCTGTAACAACTTCCGGATATAACGACGAAAATAGAGTGGTCCCTTCATCATCGTTATACCCAAAATCCACTGTAATTAATATTGCATATGATATAGAATAAGAGCTGTGGTAGCTCAGATTGCACTTGCTGCAAGTTTCACATTATGCGAGCAACCCGGGTTCGATCCCTGTGGGTACCAATGAAATTGTTAATTGCAATTTTAAGTGCTGATTTACCATATGTTTGGCGATGAAGGAAAACATTGTGAGGAAACCTGCATGTCTGAGATATAAGAAAAAAAATTTTTCGAAGACATGTAAATTTCGCCAACATGCAGCGGGTGGACAAAATCTTGCCCTAAAACCCTCTCAGAAATAATATAGAACATATAGATAATATGTTACAGCGCAGATGCACAGACCGCGGCCCGCCGGTCGAATACTGGTGGCCCGCCGACAGCAAAAATAATACTCTCGTACATTCGAAAAATATTGAATTATATTTCAGAATAAAACAAAAAAAAAATATGTTCGAAAAGTAATTTGAATCTCGCGCGCGCGCTCTTAAGTGCGCTTATCGGTGCGCCGTGCATGCGTCGGTAACAGCGGTCGGTAATGTTCGTGCTGATCTCGGTTAAATTCGTTTTCTTGAGGAACCACCGCGGCCGGCGGCGCGGCGACGACGGCAGCGCGGTGGCGGCCTTTCCACGGGTTATATTGTAAGAGCAAGCGAGATAGCAATAGTCCCGAATTCCCCATTTCTCGCGGAGGTAGATACACGAAGCTTCCAGAGTCGGTTTCGTGATTTCTCCAGACAGTTTTCGACTCTATACGCGCGGTATAAAAGCCACGCTAACCGCAGCGACCGACAGTTCGGTTTTAATTTGAGTGAAGTGTCAATAGTTCTAGTGTAGATTTTAATTCGACTAGCCGGTGTCATATATTTTGATCCACATTCAACGTAGATTTCCCGTCAAGTGCCGTGTATAATTGTGTTGTGAAATCGTAAGTAAAACTCTGTTATTAATGAGTGTTTCCCTACCTATTTAATCAATTATTTTTGGTAATTTAAAAAGGATGGGTAATTTAAGTAGGTACTGTAATTGTTTTTAGATGCTGTGTTAATCCTAGCCAGGATTAGAACGCAACATGGACAAGGCAGGACCTAGTAAAAAATGTAAGGTTAAAGATGAAAATCGGCAGTTTCATGAAATTTGGACTGAGAAATACTTTTTCGTATGGTCGCATAACAAAGTCGTTTGTTTAATTTGCAAGAGTTCTGTTGCGATTGCAAAGGAATATAATGTAAAAAGGCACTATGAAATGCAGCATCCCACTTTTACCAAGTTTACAGGCGAAATAAGAAAGCAAAAAATGTTGTCTTTAAAACGGGAGCTTATTGGTCAGCAAGCTATGTTTACAAAACCCATTCAAGATTCAGAAACAGCTATAGATGTTAGTTATGAAATTTCTCGAATGATAGCAAAGCGAAGTCGACCCTTCAATGATGTGGATTTTGTAAAAGAATGCATAGAAATTGCCGCTAAGAAAATGTGTCCAGAAGCAGCAAAAAAGTTTGACAAAATTCAATTGAATTCTATGACTATCCAAAGACGAATTATGTCTTTGTCAGGTAATATTGCGGAACAATTAAATGAAAAAACTAAAATCATTGAATTTTTTTCATTAGCACTTGACGAATCCACTGATATTAGTTCCACAGCTCATTGTTCATTGAAAAGTCAAACCAGAGGAGTTGATATACTCAATGTACTTTTGGATGAGTATTCAAAAACTTTGAGACTTGGACTAATTAAAATTATAAGGAGTTGTGACTGACGGTGCTCTTTTGATGATTGATGTCAATTCTGGGCTAGTTACTTTGCTGAAAAAGCATCTGCAAGAAAAAAAACATAAACGCTGAAGATCTCATACAGTTTCACTGCATTATACACCAAGAAGCCCTCTGTTCTAAAAAAATTGAATATCAAAATGTCATGAAAATGGTAGTTTCGACAGTAAATTTCATAAAATCACAAGGACTCAATCACAGGCAATTCAAACAATTCCTTAATGACATTGAAAGCGAATATGGAGATTTACTGTATTATACAGAAGTAAGGTGGCTAAGTCGTGGATTGACACTGGAACAATTTCTAAATTTAATAGAAGAAATTGGAATATTTCTGGCGGAAAAGCAAAGGGATGTCCGGGAACTTAAAAATCCTGATTGGTTGTGTAATTTGGCTTTTTTAGTTGATATTACAAATCATTTGAATGCCTTGAACACACGGCTTCAAGGCAAAAATCAACTGATATCCCAGCTCTAAGCTCATGTATCATCCTTTCAATGCAAGCTGACACTTTTCAGATCGCAATTGAATTCTGGAAATATCAATCATTTTACGAATTATAAGAAAATGGCTGAAAAATTCAACAAAACTGCGATTAATTTCAGTTATGTAGAAAAGCTAGATATTTTGATTCAATCTTTTCAAGACAGATTTTCGGAGTTTAATAAAGTGAAACCTCTGTTGGACACATTCAGCAATCCTTTCACGATTTCAGTTGAAAATGCGCCAGAGTCAATGCAGTTAGAAATTATCGACATTCAAAACGACCAAGATTTACACAACAAATTCAACGAAGGAGACTTGCTGAACTTTTACCGCTGCATTGATAAAAATACGTACAAAGAGTTGCGCATAAACACTCTGAAATGTGCCAGCCTATTTGGTTCTACCTATATATGTGAACAAACCTTTTCAATACTAAATAATAATAAAACAAAAAATCGAAACCGCCTTGCAAATGAAAGTTTGGAAGCAGTTTTACGTGTTGCTACAAGTAAATTTGAGCCAAATATAAAAAAGATTGTAAGCACTATGCAGTGCCAGGCTACAAATTAATAAATTCTTTTTCAATTTTAATACATTATTATCAATTCTTTATTGTCTTTAATTACTTATACTTCTGGCGGCCCGCCATCAGTTCATAATTTGCCCGAGTGCATCACTGTGTTACAGTCAAAAGTAAAACTGTTTTCATAGGTCAAACCACTTCTGACCAATGAAAACAGTCAAAAGTAGTATTCACTGAAAAAATATTGGTTAAGAGATTTTAACTAAAAAAATTGAATATGATTTATATATATATAATATATAATTTATATTACTATTAACATTTGTATATGTTCTTGGTTCATAAACACTCTGATGATGCCGTAAGGCGGAACGGGTTGGTTTTATAGTTTATAAATTAATAATTTAAAGTAATATTGTAAAACAATTTTGACCAGTGTTTGACATTTTACACACCATTATTGCTAATTGATTTTAGAACAAACGTCAGTTTCTTCTTGGCTAAACTAGGTTTTCGTAAGCAAGGATAGTTAGGTCAGGGACATTTTGATGCTGTTGGCAATATTAGCACCAATCAGTTGATGTGCGTCTGGAGTACATCAGGGATGGTATCTCAAATTTTGTAGTGATGTGCGATTGTGAAATTGAGCAGCTGGATTTAGTCTGAACAATTCCTCTGAGCACTCCCCATGGTAGATGCAATACGTAACATCTCTTTGCAGCACCAGTGAGTCGAGCCAATTGGAAAGAACTTAGTTGCCGATGATTTGAACTCCTTTGGATTGATGGTGATCAAGAAGGACCTAGCACTGGGATGCCCTGACCCAGAGGTAAGAAGAATTTGAGGTCAAAACTGTACCTTGCAAAGTTACAAGAAGTGTGCCGACATTAGTGTCCCACTCTACAAGACATGCCAGCTTTTTAGAGGCCAATTTAGCCTTCCCTTCCAAGTTACCACGGAACTGAATGTCATTTGATATGCTGAGGCCGAGAAATCGGATACTAGTTGAAATTGCAAACACGTTGCAAAGCTTCTAACATCTAGTTCATCTTGCCGGGCTTAGGAAAAACTAGTTTAGCCTAAGAAAAACTGATTTGTCCTAAAATTTAGTTTGGCAAGGAATAAAGTTCTTTCTACTGCAGATTTGCGCAAAACTAGTTAGGACGTTTTGAAGGAGTCCCGTATGGGATGTCTCCCATTTCAACACTAGGGGTAGTTAATCAAAATCTCATTCAAATAAAGAGATCAAAAAATACAAGAAATTAACAACGTAATTAACTAATAATTATACTTATTTTCAAAACTTACTGCTATTCCATAAAATTTCGGAAGTCCTCGAAGTTCAATTTTAAACATTTCAGATGAAAAGCCACCTCGGTTTAAATATGCATATTCCTCGTTCGTTTCCGTCATTTCCCACAATTTTGCCTCAATTTCTGATTGCATAGGGCTATTTTCTGTCATTTTAAGTTAAAAAATAACTTTTTCGTAGTTGAACAAGAAATAAATTATATGCACTGAGCACTTTTTATCACAAATCACAAATACAAACACAAAATTATGAATAGGATTAGGATTTAGGATTAGGTCCCCAGTAGGCCTGGGTAATAACTATCGATAGATCAAAATATTAATATTTTCTCAAAAATCATCGATATATATTGTCGATATTTTTAATCAAGATATAGCGATACAAGATATTTATTTTAGAGTATCGAACAGGTATCAATTTCGATATATTTTATAACGCAACTCTGGTTCCATATTCAATGTTATTAGATACTCCTTGCATGCTCCTCGCACATCATTTATTTAAAAAAATAACAATCTTCATCAAATCGAACATAATATCACAGTGAAACCACAGACAAAACAAAAGCATTAATTTGCTATTATTTTGTCTATGTATTTGTGAACAATGTTTTGAAAAGAAAAATATCAATCATGTCTTGTATGTGGAAGTTCTTCAAAAAAGAAGGTTACAATGAGTTAGCTTCCTGCAATATGTGCAGCAAGTCGTACTAAATGTCCGGCAATAAAATTAGGCCACCCATTTTAAAATTAAGCATCAAATGATAAAAATGTATAGTCCATCAAACACTACTAAATCTAAATCCAAAACATGACGATATATCGATATTTATCACACAATAATTATCGATACTGTTTATAAATATCGATACAATAAATATTGATATAATTTTCACTTGCTTATCCCTAATCCACAGATAATGAATTAGGAAGCAAGCTGGAAGTTTTGGCGGGAACTTGACCGGCGGCGGATTGCTGCTCCTGTATTGTTGTTTAAATAATCATTTAAAGCGGTTTTCGACACATAAAAGTGGTGTATTTGAGTAGGAAATGTCTGCACATGTGAACTATTACTGCAAACGATGAAACAATTGCTCCTTTGGAGATGTGAATCAAAATAAGGTCTACTTAGGCGGCTTGAAATATTATCGACAACTGTCTGTCTGTCTGTACAATGTAACGCAACAACATATTGTAAAGCAGTGTATTAGAAAGGATTATTGTCACTTGATACTGAGATAAATGAAGACATGGCTTAAAAGACAAGCATTGAAGCCAAAATCTTAATAAAAAAAATAGCAAGCAAGCATGGAAATATACAGTGCCACCAACTTATCTGTTCAGGTGGACAAAATTGGAACTAATGCCGCCATTTTGTAAATGACATTTCGCTGTCAGTTATTATTTATTCTGAGCTATCAGGTGAATGTTTTTAAAAAGTGCAATTAAAATGCCTAAAGCTCTTAAAAGTGATGCGCGACAGATTATCCTAAAAGTTTTATCTTTTATGAAAGAAGAGAAACGTGTACAAGCCCCAACTATACCATTTGAAAAGCTGTATGAGCGCGTTGCTGCCGCGACTGGTTAGTATTGCCAGATATGGAAAATTAAAATCACCAAATAATGTACTTGTAAAACATAGTAAAAAAATTATCTCAATTTACTGTAATTCGTCTAAAGTACCTAGCTTTGTAGTTTGTGGTCTGTGAAGTAGCTTTAGTGACGGCATATACACGGGCTTACATTTATTTAATTTTACCTATACAATAATTATTTGTCGTTTCGTTACAGGTGTTTCTGAGCGATTTGTACACAAACTCGTAAATGAAGAGAAACACGCTGAAGAATCCAATTCTAAAATTTCTACCCCTGGCAAAAAAAGGCAAAGAAAAACCGGGAAGCAAGAAGTTGATAATTTTGACATTGGTGTTATAAGAAGAAAAATTCACGAATTTTATTCAGTGAAAAAAGAAATCCCTACCATACCCAAATTACTGAGTATTTTAAAGGAAGATATTGATTTCAAAGGAGAACGTGAAACTCTTCGAGAATTGCTTCACAAAATAGGATTTCGTTATAAGAAAACGAAATCAAATAGAAAAGTGTTGTGCGAATGTAACGACGTAGTTGCATGGAGAGCAACCTACCTACAAAAAATTAAAGAAAATGAGCGTGGTGAAAAAAGACCTGTTATTTATTTAGACGAAACTTACATTCACTCGTCTCACTCAACTGGGAAATGTTGGCAAGGTCCTGAAGAAGATGGTGATTTGGAACCTGTTTCGAAAGGTAATAGGTGGATCATAATCCATGCAGGTGGAGAAAAAGGTTTTGTGGAGAATGCCCTTCTCGTATTTAAATCAAATACAAAATATGGGGACTACCATGATGAAATGAATAGCATTAATTTCAAAAAATGGGTATATGAAAAATTACTACCTAATCTGCATGAACCTTCGCTCATTGTAATGGATAATGCGCCATACCATAGTATTTGCGTAAATAGGTGTCCTAATTCAAACCACAGTAAGGCTGATATGCAGAAGTGGCTTGAAAAAAACAATGTAAGTTTCAATGAACAAATGACAAAACCTCAGCTTTATGAATTAATAAAGAGAAATAAACCTGCTCCGGAATACGAAATTGATAACCTGATGAAAAGTCATGGCCATGCTATTCTTAGATTGCCGCCTTATCATTGCGACTTGAATGCAATTGAAATGATATGGAGCTCTATGAAAAGGAACATAGCAGACAAAAATGTTGGAAAATCTAATGTTCTAATGCCCCAATTAATTGAAGATGCATTTAATAAAATTACACCGGTGCAGTGGAAAAACATATGCAATCATGTGAAAAAAATTGAAAATGAATACAGACTAAAAGACGCGTATTTAGATGAACCCTTTATTATAGAGTGTCAGAGCGATAGCGAAACCGATTCCAGTGACTCAGAAGATGAATTATTGGAACCAGTATCTAACGCGGGTACATCTTTCAAAACAGGAATTCCTGGAGTTCGACCGCTTGAACTCCGAGACCACGACCACAATTATTTTTATAAAATATAAATTATATATATATATATATATATATATATATATATATATATATATATATATATATATATATAAATATAATTTATATATATGTATATATATATATATATATTAACACGAAATTTGTTTTATTTTATATTATGTGTAATGAATATGTAGTCACCTATTTCCTCGGTAAATTTCTTAAATGGCAATAGTAAGCACTCCACTAGCGACTCTGTCAACTGAACAGATAAGTTGGTGGCACTATATGTACTTCGTACAAACCAAGCTATGATATATGCTATGTGCGTAAGCATCATGTCTGACCCCCGCCCCCCCCTAAACCCAACCTATGAATTTGGAATGTATATATGTAAAAAAAGACTGGCAGACTTATTGACAGACAGGCAGATTGGCACATCTCAAAAATATTAATTATTATATATGTTTGTGAATATAGCTTGCATAGACTAATATGATGTCTACGCATGCTATATTATTGTGTTAAAATACTATGTACTGTGTTCAAAGTAGGGACGGACCAGTGAAAAAAATATATCTAATTTGAATATCTCGTCTTCAGCCCAGGATCGGTTCTCATCATATCTTCAAGGGCGCTAACAGGCCGTGCGTTCTGGCCATAATGTTGGCAATTGGATAATACATCACACCGGTGCCATTGAGTTATACAAGACAATAAGTGTAACATATAAATCAATGACCGGTGCCCTTCAAGGCGGTATTCTCTCACATCTTCTGTTTTCAAAATTAATCTTATCACATTAAACGTCAAGTGCTCTTATAATCTGTATACTGATGATCTACAACTATATACACAGTACAAAGTACTTTCCTATATAGGGAAAGTAAGTACCCACTAGCACAAAAAACGCCAATACATTTGTATAAGGTATAAGCACAGTTTAGACCTTACAGTTGTGATACGCCTATGCCGTCAAGCGAGAGACGCGGCCAGCATGTATGTTGCCACGAAAATGGAAATAAAATAATTTTGAATATTATAATATTCATTATCATTCATTAAAATTATGTGCATACTTATAAGTTAAAAACATTTATCTAACAAGATCTTTCTTATTACTACAAGAAAAAAACACATTTACAAGTGTTGCACTACCAAATATTTTTGACACTTTCTTTATATAGATGTTTGCAGTTTTCGATTGTTAAATTTAATTATGTACCGTATTCGCATTCGGATAAACAAATTTATCGAAAAAAAAGAGGAAAACATAACCGTCATTTGAATTAAATTCTTTTAGTAACTCGTATAACTATAACAGTAATTCACCATTATAAATATTATATTTTTCTATATTTTTTTTATAGGAGAGTGTACAAACGAGCATGCGGCTCACCTGATGGTAAGTGACTACCGCCGCCCATGAACAACTGCAACACCAGGGGAACCAGGAGAATCACAGGGGCATTGTCAGCTTTTTAGAAAGGAGTTAGCTCTTTTTTTGAAGGTCCCTAAGTCGTATCGGTCTGGAAAAATCGCCGGTGGTAAACAATTCCACAGAGAAGTTGCACGAGGAAGAAAACTCCTAGTAAAACGCACAGTGATGGACCGCCAAGCAATCAGGTCAGTGTCGGATTTACACATTTGCCGCCAGTAGGCTAAGGAAATTTTGCCGCCCCTACCGAACTCAATTACAATTCGATACCCTGGTTCACTATCATATTACACATTGTACACAATCGTCCTAATTACTCCACCCTTTTCCCGTAATTAGTATGATTGTGAACTAGACAATTGATGTGTCAGTTCCTAGATTATTTTTACAATCCAATGATTTAGTTAAGATTGCACAATAAGTTAAGAAATGAAAAAACTCTTAAATAATAAATATTAATTAATTAATGGCTAATCTAATGTTAGGTTCTAATGTCCTTGCTGAGGCCTTAGAACCATGAAATATGTCGAACAAATCACGAATATTATTATAACTATTAGTCATTCTGTTCATTTTAGTTCATTTTTCAAATCATTTTTTTTTTCATTCTGTACAATGGCGAGTGATGACCCGCCACTGTTTTACAGTGTGGCGTAACAAAAGTCTTTTTGCGGCCCAAGCGACTGCCGGCTCTAGGGATCGACACATCTAAATGATTTAAAATGTCCGGACAGTTGATGAGACCATGGATAATTTTATAGAGGAACATGACATCAGATGATTCCCGCCGCTAGGATAGGAATTCTAATTTGTATTGTGCCAATCTACTCTCATATGAAACGAGTGTCCTGCATTGGTTATTTGCGTGCGATAACTGGTACATAAACCTTTTCTGAATCTTTTCAATTTGAGTGAAGTGTCAATAGTTCTAGTGTAGATTTTAATTCGACTAGCCGGTGTCATATATTTTGATCCACATTCAACGTAGATTTCCCGTCAAGTGCCGTGTATAATTGTGTTGTGAAATCGTAAGTAAAACTCTGTTATTAATGAGTGTTTCCCTACCTATTTAATCAATTATTTTTGGTAATTTAAAAAGGATGGGTAATTTAAGTAGGTACTGTAATTGTTTTTAGATGCTGTGTTAATCCTAGCCAGGATTAGAACGCAACATGGACAAGGCAGGACCTAGTAAAAAATGTAAGGTTAAAGATGAAAATCGGCAGTTTCATGAAATTTGGACTGAGAAATACTTTTTCGTATGGTCGCATAACAAAGTCGTTTGTTTAATTTGCAAGAGTTCTGTTGCGATTGCAAAGGAATATAATGTAAAAAGGCACTATGAAATGCAGCATCCCACTTTTACCAAGTTTACAGGCGAAATAAGAAAGCAAAAAATGTTGTCTTTAAAACGGGAGCTTATTGGTCAGCAAGCTATGTTTACAAAACCCATTCAAGATTCAGAAACAGCTATAGATGTTAGTTATGAAATTTCTCGAATGATAGCAAAGCGAAGTCGACCCTTCAATGATGTGGATTTTGTAAAAGAATGCATAGAAATTGCCGCTAAGAAAATGTGTCCAGAAGCAGCAAAAAAGTTTGACAAAATTCAATTGAATTCTATGACTATCCAAAGACGAATTATGTCTTTGTCAGGTAATATTGCGGAACAATTAAATGAAAAAACTAAAATCATTGAATTTTTTTCATTAGCACTTGACGAATCCACTGATATTAGTTCCACAGCTCATTGTTCATTGAAAAGTCAAACCAGAGGAGTTGATATACTCAATGTACTTTTGGATGAGTATTCAAAAACTTTGAGACTTGGACTAATTAAAATTATAAGGAGTTGTGACTGACGGTGCTCTTTTGATGATTGATGTCAATTCTGGGCTAGTTACTTTGCTGAAAAAGCATCTGCAAGAAAAAAAACATAAACGCTGAAGATCTCATACAGTTTCACTGCATTATACACCAAGAAGCCCTCTGTTCTAAAAAAATTGAATATCAAAATGTCATGAAAATGGTAGTTTCGACAGTAAATTTCATAAAATCACAAGGACTCAATCACAGGCAATTCAAACAATTCCTTAATGACATTGAAAGCGAATATGGAGATTTACTGTATTATACAGAAGTAAGGTGGCTAAGTCGTGGATTGACACTGGAACAATTTCTAAATTTAATAGAAGAAATTGGAATATTTCTGGCGGAAAAGCAAAGGGATGTCCGGGAACTTAAAAATCCTGATTGGTTGTGTAATTTGGCTTTTTTAGTTGATATTACAAATCATTTGAATGCCTTGAACACACGGCTTCAAGGCAAAAATCAACTGATATCCCAGCTCTAAGCTCATGTATCATCCTTTCAATGCAAGCTGACACTTTTCAGATCGCAATTGAATTCTGGAAATATCAATCATTTTACGAATTATAAGAAAATGGCTGAAAAATTCAACAAAACTGCGATTAATTTCAGTTATGTAGAAAAGCTAGATATTTTGATTCAATCTTTTCAAGACAGATTTTCGGAGTTTAATAAAGTGAAACCTCTGTTGGACACATTCAGCAATCCTTTCACGATTTCAGTTGAAAATGCGCCAGAGTCAATGCAGTTAGAAATTATCGACATTCAAAACGACCAAGATTTACACAACAAATTCAACGAAGGAGACTTGCTGAACTTTTACCGCTGCATTGATAAAAATACGTACAAAGAGTTGCGCATAAACACTCTGAAATGTGCCAGCCTATTTGGTTCTACCTATATATGTGAACAAACCTTTTCAATACTAAATAATAATAAAACAAAAAATCGAAACCGCCTTGCAAATGAAAGTTTGGAAGCAGTTTTACGTGTTGCTACAAGTAAATTTGAGCCAAATATAAAAAAGATTGTAAGCACTATGCAGTGCCAGGCTACAAATTAATAAATTCTTTTTCAATTTTAATACATTATTATCAATTCTTTATTGTCTTTAATTACTTATACTTCTGGCGGCCCGCCATCAGTTCATAATTTGCCCGAGTGCATCACTGTGTTACAGTCAAAAGTAAAACTGTTTTCATAGGTCAAACCACTTCTGACCAATGAAAACAGTCAAAAGTAGTATTCACTGAAAAAATATTGGTTAAGAGATTTTAACTAAAAAAATTGAATATGATTTATATATATATAATATATAATTTATATTACTATTAACATTTGTATATGTTCTTGGTTCATAAACACTCTGATGATGCCGTAAGGCGGAACGGGTTGGTTTTATAGTTTATAAATTAATAATTTAAAGTAATATTGTAAAACAATTTTGACCAGTGTTTGACATTTTACACACCATTATTGCTAATTGATTTTAGAACAAACGTCAGTTTCTTCTTGGCTAAACTAGGTTTTCGTAAGCAAGGATAGTTAGGTCAGGGACATTTTGATGCTGTTGGGATAATAATATTAGCACCAATCAGTTGATGTGCGTCTGGAGTACATCAGGGATGGTATCTCAAATTTTGTAGTGATGTGCGATTGTGAAATTGAGCAGCTGGATTTAGTCTGAACAATTCCTCTGAGCACTCCCCATGGTAGATGCAATACGTAACATCTCTTTGCAGCACCAGTGAGTCGAGCCAATTGGAAAGAACTTAGTTGCCGATGATTTGAACTCCTTTGGATTGATGGTGATCAAGAAGGACCTAGCACTGGGATGCCCTGACCCAGAGGTAAGAAGAATTTGAGGTCAAAACTGTACCTTGCAAAGTTACAAGAAGTGTGCCGACATTAGTGTCCCACTCTACAAGACATGCCAGCTTTTTAGAGGCCAATTTAGCCTTCCCTTCCAAGTTACCACGGAACTGAATGTCATTTGATATGCTGAGGCCGAGAAATCGGATACTAGTTGAAATTGCAAACACGTTGCAAAGCTTCTAACATCTAGTTCATCTTGCCGGGCTTAGGAAAAACTAGTTTAGCCTAAGAAAAACTGATTTGTCCTAAAATTTAGTTTGGCAAGGAATAAAGTTCTTTCTACTGCAGATTTGCGCAAAACTAGTTAGGACGTTTTGAAGGAGTCCCGTATGGGATGTCTCCCATTTCAACACTAGGGGTAGTTAATCAAAATCTCATTCAAATAAAGAGATCAAAAAATACAAGAAATTAACAACGTAATTAACTAATAATTATACTTATTTTCAAAACTTACTGCTATTCCATAAAATTTCGGAAGTCCTCGAAGTTCAATTTTAAACATTTCAGATGAAAAGCCACCTCGGTTTAAATATGCATATTCCTCGTTCGTTTCCGTCATTTCCCACAATTTTGCCTCAATTTCTGATTGCATAGGGCTATTTTCTGTCATTTTAAGTTAAAAAATAACTTTTTCGTAGTTGAACAAGAAATAAATTATATGCACTGAGCACTTTTTATCACAAATCACAAATACAAACACAAAATTATGAATAGGATTAGGATTTAGGATTAGGTCCCCAGTAGGCCTGGGTAATAACTATCGATAGATCAAAATATTAATATTTTCTCAAAAATCATCGATATATATTGTCGATATTTTTAATCAAGATATAGCGATACAAGATATTTATTTTAGAGTATCGAACAGGTATCAATTTCGATATATTTTATAACGCAACTCTGGTTCCATATTCAATGTTATTAGATACTCCTTGCATGCTCCTCGCACATCATTTATTTAAAAAAATAACAATCTTCATCAAATCGAACATAATATCACAGTGAAACCACAGACAAAACAAAAGCATTAATTTGCTATTATTTTGTCTATGTATTTGTGAACAATGTTTTGAAAAGAAAAATATCAATCATGTCTTGTATGTGGAAGTTCTTCAAAAAAGAAGGTTACAATGAGTTAGCTTCCTGCAATATGTGCAGCAAGTCGTACTAAATGTCCGGCAATAAAATTAGGCCACCCATTTTAAAATTAAGCATCAAATGATAAAAATGTATAGTCCATCAAACACTACTAAATCTAAATCCAAAACATGACGATATATCGATATTTATCACACAATAATTATCGATACTGTTTATAAATATCGATACAATAAATATTGATATAATTTTCACTTGCTTATCCCTAATCCACAGATAATGAATTAGGAAGCAAGCTGGAAGTTTTGGCGGGAACTTGACCGGCGGCGGATTGCTGCTCCTGTATTGTTGTTTAAATAATCATTTAAAGCGGTTTTCGACACATAAAAGTGGTGTATTTGAGTAGGAAATGTCTGCACATGTGAACTATTACTGCAAACGATGAAACAATTGCTCCTTTGGAGATGTGAATCAAAATAAGGTCTACTTAGGCGGCTTGAAATATTATCGACAACTGTCTGTCTGTCTGTACAATGTAACGCAACAACATATTGTAAAGCAGTGTATTAGAAAGGATTATTGTCACTTGATACTGAGATAAATGAAGACATGGCTTAAAAGACAAGCATTGAAGCCAAAATCTTAATAAAAAAAATAGCAAGCAAGCATGGAAATATACAGTGCCACCAACTTATCTGTTCAGGTGGACAAAATTGGAACTAATGCCGCCATTTTGTAAATGACATTTCGCTGTCAGTTATTATTTATTCTGAGCTATCAGGTGAATGTTTTTAAAAAGTGCAATTAAAATGCCTAAAGCTCTTAAAAGTGATGCGCGACAGATTATCCTAAAAGTTTTATCTTTTATGAAAGAAGAGAAACGTGTACAAGCCCCAACTATACCATTTGAAAAGCTGTATGAGCGCGTTGCTGCCGCGACTGGTTAGTATTGCCAGATATGGAAAATTAAAATCACCAAATAATGTACTTGTAAAACATAGTAAAAAAATTATCTCAATTTACTGTAATTCGTCTAAAGTACCTAGCTTTGTAGTTTGTGGTCTGTGAAGTAGCTTTAGTGACGGCATATACACGGGCTTACATTTATTTAATTTTACCTATACAATAATTATTTGTCGTTTCGTTACAGGTGTTTCTGAGCGATTTGTACACAAACTCGTAAATGAAGAGAAACACGCTGAAGAATCCAATTCTAAAATTTCTACCCCTGGCAAAAAAAGGCAAAGAAAAACCGGGAAGCAAGAAGTTGATAATTTTGACATTGGTGTTATAAGAAGAAAAATTCACGAATTTTATTCAGTGAAAAAAGAAATCCCTACCATACCCAAATTACTGAGTATTTTAAAGGAAGATATTGATTTCAAAGGAGAACGTGAAACTCTTCGAGAATTGCTTCACAAAATAGGATTTCGTTATAAGAAAACGAAATCAAATAGAAAAGTGTTGTGCGAATGTAACGACGTAGTTGCATGGAGAGCAACCTACCTACAAAAAATTAAAGAAAATGAGCGTGGTGAAAAAAGACCTGTTATTTATTTAGACGAAACTTACATTCACTCGTCTCACTCAACTGGGAAATGTTGGCAAGGTCCTGAAGAAGATGGTGATTTGGAACCTGTTTCGAAAGGTAATAGGTGGATCATAATCCATGCAGGTGGAGAAAAAGGTTTTGTGGAGAATGCCCTTCTCGTATTTAAATCAAATACAAAATATGGGGACTACCATGATGAAATGAATAGCATTAATTTCAAAAAATGGGTATATGAAAAATTACTACCTAATCTGCATGAACCTTCGCTCATTGTAATGGATAATGCGCCATACCATAGTATTTGCGTAAATAGGTGTCCTAATTCAAACCACAGTAAGGCTGATATGCAGAAGTGGCTTGAAAAAAACAATGTAAGTTTCAATGAACAAATGACAAAACCTCAGCTTTATGAATTAATAAAGAGAAATAAACCTGCTCCGGAATACGAAATTGATAACCTGATGAAAA